TCCTGAGGTCGAGCGATCCTCCCAGAGTGCTAGGATTACAGGCGTGAGCCACGGTGCCCGGCCAAGAAAGCTCTTAATTATGAATTCACGCACATACACGTTTATAGAGCAAGTACGGTTCTTAAACTGTAAGCTGCTTTGTCATTTAGGTCTTCTTTAAACAGTGCCTCTCTGCCATGGCATCATTTCCCAACTTCTCTCCTTTTTTTTTCCCCCCAGAGCAACAATGATACAACTTATTAACAAATTCATTGTCAAATTTAGTAACAGTCCCATCTTGATGGCACATTGAGCAGCAACATTCAGCTCACACAACAAAACCGCATGACGCTCCCTGATAAAGTAGCATCTCTTCTGACATTGACAAGTTCCGAGATGTCATCAGCTTTTCTTTCAATGATCACGATTTTTTATTTGCTTGGTCATAGCCATTGAGCTACATCTGATATTCTGCCTGATATGCGGTGTCCGGGATTGCAAAGAGAAAAACGATAAACGAGCACAGGAAGTGGGAGATGAGGTGCAATTTATGACGAGTTTTGGCACCTTCTTATTTTGACACAACACAAGATTTTCTTCCACAATATTTTATATAAACTTCTGGCTGAGTAATTCGATCTTAACTGCCTAGCCACAAGCTCCATGCAAATAGCGTTTGTGAACAAATGCCTAATAGCTACACATCATATGGAAATATGCATGCCAGGACTAAAATTGGTATAAAATCAGAGAGGGGTTTCATACATAAATGCCTTCATATATGAATTCTGTTGAACACGTTTCCAAGTTTCCTGATACAGCTGGCCAATTCATTATCTCAACCAGAATACTCCACATTGTATGTTCTGAGGTTGGACATATAACACTTCCATTGTAAACAATTATTGTCAAATAATTCTCCCCAATAATCTAATGAGCATATGCTCAATCCCCTACAAAGAATTCAAAAGCAAGAAGAAAATTTGTAGACTGTTTTGGCAGTGTCTCCCATAATCTGTCAGAACTCTGTACTGATATCCATTCTTGTAGAACTTTCATATTCCCTATTACCTTCATTGCTCTCCTGAAGAATTACTGAGCATGAATTACCTACTATCATTTTCCCCATAAAGAGAAATCAATTTCTTTAGGCAACCTGGGATCTCTTAAGATCACAGCCACCTACTCAACTGATCATTGGCTCCTACAGAAATGTATGGTGAGATAAGAGACCGAGAGACAGAGAAAGAGAGTGAACTTATACCACTGCTACCTACTCATCCACTATTTTTCCCAGGCTTTTCGGACTTGATCCTGAATTAATGAGCCTGTTACATGATATCTAATAAAAATGACTGGAGTACAGATACTGTTTGGATTCTGCCACATATTTGGTTCAAGGCGGAATCGATTTCATCTCTATTTAACACATGCTTGTTTTCTGTCTCACTTGTCTTCCCCACAGCCCATGGCTCACTCTTTTTTTTCCATCTGGCAAACTTATCTCCTAAAACACTACCATCAATCAGCCAAAGACACTCTTCCCGACAGAGCGTCTGCCAGTTTGATGAAGCACAAGTAGTCACTAGTTTGGGGATGCCTCCCACACTCTCTATAGCCGTGTGTTTTTCTAGCCTGCCTAACCACACACGAGCAATTTGGGATATTTATACGTAGCTCCAGTTTCTATAGAGATAATAGCACCACTCTTACAGAATTGGGCACAGGTCACTCTGGTGTGGAATGGCAGTTGCACACGTTGCTTGTCTATCTACTTTTTATGTTATTTCTTTGGGTTTTTTTGCATTTCCACTCATTTTGGTCTGCTTTGGCTCAGTGCCTGCTCAAAACCCATGAAAATCGAATGCTTACAAGGATGCCTACCCTTTGTCCCCAAAGCTTTCCCAACTGGCGCCACTCCCATTTTCTAGTCCTTTATGTCAATACCACTCCCGATACATTCAAGCCTCTAAAGCTTAAAATTCACAGTGTGAAAGGAGGGAGACAGAAAAGAGAGCAAACGCGGGGTTGTCTGCAGAAGGCAAGCACTGGTAGAGGGAAGGGAAGAACAGGGACAGGAGCCGGGCAGCCCCCTCTCCCACAAAGCCCCAGTCGGGAACACACCCCCCTGGCCAGGGCACAAGAGCACCGTGCATAGGCACAGGTGGGTCCCAGCCTCTCTGGCTGGATGCAGCTTAAGCACTGAGCCTGAATGAAGACTTTCATTGCTGTTTGCTGTTTTTGTTGGCCGGTAGCCATGGCAAACATTTGCAGGTGGCTTGGCCAGATTTTGACACTTAAATATTTGAGGTTGTGATAAAAATCAGAATATTACTACAATATGGTTCTGTGCAGCCTCAAAAAAAATAAAATAAAGTAAAAAAAAAAAAAGCTATCTGCAATTTAAAATGCTCATTTAAAGACACAGTCTCCAGAGGGAACTCATGTTTTAAAATAAGTACTCATTTCCTCTTTCCTGAGAGAAATAAAAGTCAACCATCCCCAAATGTTACCACCTAGAGTTTCGGACTGAATCCGCTGGTGAGATGGGTTGGGTTGTTTCTTGCTGAGCCCCCGGAGATCAGCCGGGCAAGGTTTTGGATGGGTCACGTGGAGAAAAATGGAAATGACAGGATGTGTGGTTTTGAATCAACATGGTAAGCATGACAGGGAAGAATCTCAAGAAAAGAAACAGCCTCCCCTCGAGCTTGGCAATGAGACAGAGCCCTAAAAGTGACAATTATCTCCTAGAACACACCAGGAGAGACATGCAATACCCCAGGAGCAAGAAAAAAATGGGAGGATGGAGGGGTTCAGGAGGGTATCTGTACCAGAGAAACACCCCCATCCCTAGTGACACCGCTTACCAATGTCACCCACATGTACAGTCCCAGGCCAGCTGGGTAAATTATTGACAGAGTCAGCACTCATCTTAAAATTTAGTGCTAACCCTTAAAAGACTGTTTCATAAAGACCAGCTTTGTACTAACAATGGCTGAGGGTAGTTGGTGGGGGGTGGGGGGAAGGGAGGCAGGAGAACTCCAGGGGGGAAGGAATGCTGTAAAACTGCTAGTAAACTTTAGCACATTTTATGTTTTTTCCCCTTGAAAGAAAAATAAAATAATTATAATTAGCTGGCCTAACTGTGAATTGTCTGCCTAAAGCCAAGCCACTAGAGTGAAGAAGTCCTTTGAGATTTAGATGCTGTCTTTAATGAATCCACCCCACCCTCTTAGCATATTATGGGTTCTTGATTTAGATGGTGGCAACATTTGCTTTCACAGTCATTTGGGAAGAAAAGAAATCTTTAACAGAGACACTTGCTAATTTAGCATTGGCTTCTTTAAACAAAGTCCAGCGTTCAAATGGCCAGATTCATTGTTTTTTTTATTTATTTATTTCTTGAGTGGGAAACCAAATATACCCAAGGCAAGGCAAACTCACAAAATAGTCATTACCTGCTTCTGTCACCTGCTTCTGTCATTTCTTAAGGTGGGTCTTTAAGTGTCACAACAGGCTGGGTTAAGTCGAGAAATGTGTGAGACAAGGTACCCCTTCTGGAGCATTCTAAGGAGGAATAAACCAGTGTTGTCCTCAGTGCTCACTGTTGCTCTGGGAGTCTTACAACATTAAAAACAAGGGGAAAATGAAGTACTAACAAATTGTGAGGCAGCTTCTAAATTTTTAAAAAATTACCATATCTAATATTGAACTGAAAATCCAAACTGAATTCTGACGCAGGTACAAAACACAGTGAGTTCCCCTTCTTATTTCAAATGGAGAATTCTGGGAACACAGAGCAACCAGCTCTTGGCATCCACCAATATAAATTTATCGTAGCTCTTTGGCTTAAGTTACTACCTTTTCTTCCTAAGAACCCAAGTGCTCTTAAATCTTTTATCACATCTTTACTCTTGTGAGTTTGGAAAGAACAGACACCATCCTCATTCTGGGGGAAAGGAAGCTGGGCCAGAGATTCTGCATTTCTAAGAAGCTTCCAGGTAATGCCCACATTGCTGATCCTCAGATCATACTTGCGTAGCAAAAGGCTGGAGTGATCACGTGATGCCAGGAAGTGAAAGCTCTTTCCAGCACATGGCATGGGTGTCTGGGAGTCAATGACAGGATCTTTCTACCAATTTCCCCCTAATGCTTCAGTATTCTCTATTTGCATAAATGAGAGGAGAGGGCTGCTTTCTTTGTTTTGTTTACTCCAGGAATGAGTATGGGCCAATGCACAGGGAGGGGGGAGCTAAAAGGTGGCATTAACAAGGAAGAGGAGAAGGGAAGAATGACCAGAGGGAAGGAGGACTGTGGAAATACAATAGTGCCCCCTTATCTGCAGTTTTGCTTTCTGCAGTTTCAACTAACCAAAGTCCAAAAATATTAAAACATTTAATATTTTTTTATTCTGGAAAATTCCAGAAATAAAAAATTCACAAGTTTTAAAATCGCATGCTGTTTCAGGTAGTGTGGTGAAATTTTGCGCCATGCAGATCCGTCCCTCCCAGGATTCGAATCATCCCTCTGTCCAGCACATCCACAGTGTAGACACTCCCTGCCCAGTGGTCACTTAGTAGCCATCTCAGTCATCAGATGGAAAAAACATGGTACATATAGGGTTTGGTACTATCCGTGGTTTCAGGCATCCGTTGGGGTCTTGGAATGTATCCCCTGTCAATAAGGGAGGACTACTGCACACCCAAGACACTCTGGTCACCATAAAACCCATAGATTTTTCCATAGTCATCCTAAAGTTCTCAAATCTTGTTTGAAGAAACCATGACACAGAATGACTTATTTCCCTACCCCGTCCCCAACGCAGATTTAGGATCAAAACGGCTTCCAACAAACAGAAACTCCCTCTCCCTTCTCCCATCAAAACCATCACTCCAAATCTCTAGGCGATATCACACCAGCCAGGAAAACCAACCGATCTGCACACCAGAAACAAGGAGAAAGTCCAGAACATCCCCTGAGCTCCATCCAGGACCCAGGGGCAGCCGAGGAGGGCTCCTTACCCGATCTGGCGGTTGGTGGAAGGTGCCTGAGTGATGACAGAGCTGGACTGCGGCGATGGCATGGCTTGCTGAATCACAACGCTGGTGTCGTGGTTGGGCAGCCGGGCACTGCCGAGCTGGTGAGCTCCAGGCCCCGCCAGGGCCCCACCAACTGCATTATGCATCGAGATATTCTGCCCAGAGAAGACAGAGGAGAAAGGTCAGAGGGAGTCAATGTTTTATTCTACTCTCAAGCTTTCAAAGGCAAAAATTGGGAATCTGGTTGTGTCAACTAAATAGAGTTATGGCTTCTGGCTTGCCTTGGGCCCATTCATCTTGTTATAACTCACAGCTAAGAGGAGATGAAAAATAAGTACGCACCCTTACGGGAAAGCACAGGGGAAAATGCCTTGAAGTTCACTGATCGCTCTGCTGCCATCCTGATGTGAGATTTGCAACAGGAATGTTTGGTGCATACGTCCTCTGACTTGGTGGGATATACTCCGAGTTTGAAAATGATTTCCGTGGTAAGCACATAATGCCGTGATTTAGTGGATAGCTGTTCTGCATCCTGCTTGCATGACAAGCACACTGGGTTATTTTTTTATTTTCAGTCCTATGAGAGTGGCCAGCCACATATTTTTTCCAGGAAACTATAATACTACCTTTCCAAATCATAATCTGAGTACTCATTACATAAGCTAAACAGCCTGTAAAATGAGGACGGATAATTGGAATAGATGACGGGGTGTCTGGGATCCAGTGACCAGAGTTGCAACTTTCTGTTGCATGTCCCTAAAATCAATCTCTAACAATGGAATGGAATAGTGGGTTATGGAACAATGAGTGAGGGTCTGTTCACTTGTTGACTGTCTTATCCTCTAGAATGCAGAATGTTTGCATTCATGACTCTATCTTGCGGGGATTGGACTGCAGTAGCCATTCAATAAACATACATTAATAGCATGAATAAACTGGTGAAGAAACAAATGAGACACCTGTCACTTAGGGAGTTAACCTCATGTTTTTATTTCTGATGACTTGAATGGATGCTTCTTTGTTTAAAATTCTAAAGAAAGATAAAAATATGTAAGATAAAAGACAGCTATTCATGGAAAAGAAAGTCGCTTGGAAAACTAGAGGAAATTCGCACTGAGCTGGAGAGGGCTGGTGAACACATTGGGGCTGGAAGGAGAAGAAGAAATTGAGAACTCAGGAAAGAAAAAGTGCAGGGCCCCATGAAGTAAGAGGCAAGGGCAGTAAGGAGGTCCCTGTGAACCGCTAGGTGCAGCTCTTCAGCCTACAAGGGTGGGGAAATTCCAGAGGTCAGCTGGACAATGGGCTGGGGGTGGGGGGAAAATGGTGTGTCAGTAGCAATTTACCAGAGGAAAAATATATATCTGTCTGCGCTTTGGTGTTAGCAAAGGAAAAATAAATGGTACCCAAGAGAACTAGAAGTGGTTCTTTGAAGTTCTTCTGCAAAGAACAGGATTTCCTGCACTATGTGCTAAATGATGGTGATAACATATATGGTATTTGGGGTGGTTGTGTCCATCACATTGCACCTTTCCCAAGTTTCTGATTTCTAAATCCTGACCACACAGTCTGTCAGGAGCCCAGATGGAAACTGGACACCTGGCTTAGACTGTGAGCCGACTGTTGTCGTGGGATCCCAAAGGCATGCACACACAGTCCAAAGGCTCCTCTTATATACTGGAGAGTTTTTCTGACGTGATAAAATACCGTGGTTGGGTAGAGTAAGATGAAGGGAAATGGTGATTTGCACTGGGGTGGCAGTGCAGGAATATACTTTAGTTCTTCTTATAGGATCTAGAGATTTAGACACTTGGACTGAAAATCATAATGAAAATAAAGATACTTGTGTTATCTCTTCTGAAAGTAAACCTTGACAAACTTATTTCTCTGGGTCTTAATCAGGTCTCAATTAGGTAAATAATTACAGGTATGATTTTTTCCATTGTTTAGATCCTTAAAGACACTCAAAGTTTTTCATCTTAGAGTGATCCACTCTATCAATAATAGATCCAAGGCAATGAGTGATTTTTTACTCTTTTTAGAATTATTTCCACTGTGCTGTGCTACCAGAGATTATCAATACAGGTATACAATTTAATTTTCATATTCTTTAAATTTACAACAAAGATTATAAATGGATGAACCCTCCTTGAATTATACTGGGCATCTCTTCTCTGTCACTCCCATATGTAGTCTCCAAGTCCTTCAAATTTAACCTAAGCATCTCTCATCTCTTTCTACCTTTCCACTCCTCCTTCTATCAACCTACACCCCAACTACTATCATCTCCTTTCCTGGACCAGACAATGGTCCAGTCACATGGAGAAGCCTCCTCTGCCCCCTCCCACAGTGATGGGCACCATCTCCTTTTCCTTTAGTACTTTTCACAAGTTTATAATTGTTTTTGATTATTGTATTAAAAGCTTTTTCTCCTCTGTGCTGTACACACCCAATGAGAGAAAAAGCTAAATCTGATTTTACTCCTCATTGTGTCTCTGTCCCTTATGCCAGTGCCTGGCATATCACAGGTGCTCAATAAATACAGAGTGAATGTGTGAACTCTAAGATACCATTTCTAGAATATTCAGTATGAGGAATCCTGGTCAATTTTTGAAAGTGCTAATATCCTGTCTGTTCACCTTGCAATCTGCAAGTATGTTCACCATAATAGAGTTTTAGACATTAAGGTACTTGTTCAATTATGAGCTGGAGAAATAGAAAGAATCGGGATTAAGAAGAAAACCACAAACGTGGTATGTATAGTGAAAAGCAAAACCTTTGGGAAAAAAATATTAAAGGAATCCTTGAAGGAAGATGCTGAGAGTTGAGCCTCCAATCTTCAAGCACTTTGGCTCAAATGATGGTGACAACCATTCTTTACATCTACTGTAGAAAGCAAGGGAAACTGACTTATGCTACAGCATAAAGAGCTTGGTTTGATTTCTTCACAGTAAAGTATGTTCAATAAGAGAGAAAGAAGTAATCCCCAACCTCCCCCCAACAAAAAAAGCTTAAACATCTTTTCTGAGAATCATCAAAAAGAATAAAAATTACTAAAACTAGGACTATATCTCCCACTCTTCCCCATCAATGATTTAAAGATGATCTCTTCATCTCTGTGATCTCTACCAGAGACAGAAAAGGCTCCTGAAAGTCACCCATTCTAACTCTTCAATAATCTCCTCTCCCCCCTACACATAACATCTGTACATTCTCTAGCCTTCTTCCCCCAGACCCAGAGAGTAATTTCAAAACATTTTAGAAAAATAAACAACCCAGCAAAAGCATTATCATTTCACATTAAGAGAAAGTGATTTTTTTTCTTTAAGCATTACATAGTAACTCAAACATGAACTTACTTTCTGAGTTCACATTGTCCCAATTATGGGTTCAAAACCTGTCTTCATCCATAAAAGTGTGGCATTTTACCTCTGGATAAAGTAAGCCTCCAATTTCAAGAACACAAAGAGTGGCTATATCCTGCTGAGTTATTTTTGATAGTGCAGGTGAGTAGATTTGAAGTCAGTGAAACAAAGTCACCAAACCAGTGCCTAGATGTCAACAGGCAGGGAAGGATCCGAGGTGTTCCTCGAAGCTCAGCCTTTGGCCTTTTCTTGTTCAACATTTTTATCAACAGCTTGGATGAAGATGTAAAAATTGTGCTTGTCAACTCTGCAGTTGACACAAAGTTGGGAGGCATAGCTAATGTTCTGGATAGCAGAATCAGGCTTTCCTCGAGCCAACTCTGTGATCTGGCCTCCAAAAATGCTAACATAAATCTAGGTTGTTTTAGAAGACGTGAAACGTCCAGATCAAGAGAAGTGATTATTCCACTGTAGAGTACGTTGGGCTGACTACATTTGGCCACCACATTTTAAGGGGGAAATCGACAAATGAGAGGGAATGAAAGCAATGAAGGCATCCAAAATGCATCCCAGAAAGAATGATGGAAGAATCAGGGAATATTTAGTCTGAAGAAGAGAAGACTTAGAGGGTCATGCTAACTGCCTTCAAATATTTGCAGGATTAGACATAGTCTATGTTGCTCCAGAGGGCATAATTTCAAAAAATGGAATCATGATGACAAAAGTCAATAATGACTACAATTTGAGTACCTATGTTGAAGCAGGCGCTATGTAGATGCTCATAAACCCCATGTCCAATCTTCACAATGACCCTACAAGTTAGGCATTATTGTCCTCATTTCTTAAGATAAGAAAAAAAGTAAAACTCTTCACTATCGCCAATGCCATGTCACTCACCTCTGGCCACCCTCCCTCCTATGGGCTGATGCTTTAAAGATACACATTTAACCTTTGGCCAGGCTAAATTTACTGATATCTAGAGATGCACAAAGACAAAACAAGCTGCCTTGTAAAGTTCTGAGCTTCCCAGCAGGACTATTGGCCATCTGTCAGGGATGTCACCAGAAGGGTTCCTGCATCAGGAGGGAGCTGGCACCAGATGACCTCCAAGGTCTCTTCTATCACTAAGATTCTCTCATTTATGATACATGGTTCATACTTTGGCTTGAATGTCTCCAAATGATTAGTAATGTGTAATAATGTTAAAAATATACTGGCTTGGGAGTTAAGAGGTCTCTTCTAGTCCAGTTTTTCTACCCCTCCTTGTAGCCACGTAACCTGAAGGAATCATTCAACCTCCCTGGGCTCAGTAGCGTCATCATTAAAAAGAGGGTGTTGGACCACATGTCTTCATGATCTTTTCCAGCTCCAATACTCCACAAGTCTCTTCCTATGTTACATTTTATGAGACACTAAATATCCAAACAGACTTTTAGACTCTGATTCATTACCTACAAATGTTGATTTTTCTCCATAACCATAAGTTTTTATAGAAGTAAGCCTTCTGAAAATTATAGCTTTCTTCCAGACCCAAGGGATCATGATTCAAGAACTGGATCTAAGCAAAAGTGTGATCTCTAAACCACCAAAGATGAAAGCTCCACTTTAAACAAACTATCTTCACCTCAATTTCTCCCTCTTTGATTCAAATTTCTCAGCATGTCTTTTGACTTCCTCTCTTCCTGTTCTGGAATACTGTGCTCTCCACTCATTGTTGTTCTGAGACATAAAGGGTGTGAAGGGGATGAGAACCGGGAGAATAATGAGCCTTGATTGCATACCCAGTGAGCTTG